GTGGCCAATGCAAATTTCTGTTAGCTCTTCAGGGTCAAGGTGCAGGAGAAAATTAGTTGTCAGATTTGCTATTTTATAAGTGTTCTGCGCACTACAACCCGCATTTCGCCATAATTAAAGCGCATCACTGATGGAAAATGCTCCACGTTCTTACTTCTAGCAAAAGTTGAATTTGCAGTGAATTTCCTCCTGGAATAAAAAAATAAAGGGTGCAAAATTTTTGATGCCGGAAAATTCTGAACGGCTTGAAGCACTAATCGCAACTTTCATCTATTTCTAAAGTAGTTCATCAGACAATGTTGATCTTTCATTTCAGTCTTTGTCCAGAAACTAGATATATCACACGGAACTACTTGGTGGTTTTAAGGACCATTTAGCAGACTGGTTTTCTGCCATTTTTCAGGCTTATTTCATCGTTAAATAGATCTCGGCTTATTGATATTGATGACATAATTTTAGTCTGATAAACTTTAGTATGTTATCGTATATAATTTTCTTCTTGTGATTTGAAATTTCAAGGATAGCTTACGTTAAGAACTACTGGTGGGGCTAAAGCGATAGTAAAGTAGAACCATATGGGGAAAGGGAATCTTCGACTTAAGCCAAATTTTGAGGGAGCGAGCGAGGGAGAGTGAGGCGCAATATAATAAATGCTGGAGAAGAAGATAGAGCGACTCCTAAATTTGCCATAAACCCGTCAGCAAGCAAAAAATAAAAATAAAAAAAAGCAACTTACTGCCAAGAAGTTGAGTCTTTCCATTTTTTATGAAATTATCACTTACTGAGCTTTACTAATTGGGGTTTATTGTACATATTTGCAAATTTGAAAAAGTTTTGCCGTTGGCTGTTTTCCAATTTCATTGCCAATAGCCCCGTATCAGTCATTGGAAATACTCGTTACTTTTTAAGTTAAAAGAATGTTTTTGAGTACTCGTAATACCGAGCAGTATTGATTTAGTATGCTTCCTTTTTGAGTGGTATTTTTTTTTATTTCTATTCATCCCCCGAAAGCAACTTTTTTTTGAATGTGTTGTTTTATGCTTGCCTCTTCTGGTCGGTAATAATTTGCTCTAATTTTTACTGATTATTATGTGAAATATCACTTTTCTTTTTTTTTAGGATACATTGTCAGCCATTAAAGTGCAGTAATGACGGATATGGGTTTTAATCTGTTGGCTGTACCTGGAGAAGGAATACGGACATCTTTCAGTAGATTTTTGTGACTATGGATTTAGGGAGAAAGCAGTTTATCAAAAAATCTGATATTAGATTTTGGTGTGGTTAGTGGCTTAACTATTAGCCTTTCTGAAATAGCTTTGACTTTGCTTATATGCTTATGTCACTTTTAACTTGTTTAAAGACGCTTATTTTGTGCTCATTTCTTTTTCCGTTAAGCTTCCCAACAAAAGCTTTTCTGTTTGCACTGAGTAGTTGAAAAAGTAGTGAAAAAAGCGGGAAGAATGTTATCTTATAGTGTATTTCACTGAATGGTTGAGACGGGAAGAGCGAAATACGGAAAGAGGATGTTATTTCTGTTGTACAGGTATTGCTGTATATAGGTTTATTTTCTCTGTAATATTAGAAGTCTGCTTCTTGATAGTAATTGTTCCTTAACTTTAATCGTATCGAAAGCTTATAGCGTATGAGTTTTTATGGCTAGAAAGATCATATTGCTATGAATAGTGAGTAACTATGATTGAGGTTTAAAGTTACAGAAAACAGAAAAAAACATTAGGTCGATATTTGGTTAAGCTGTGTGTTCAGGGGGCTGGTAACCACAAAAGATAAGAGCTGTTTCCAGTTGCATCAAGGTCCTCGGTAGAAAACTTCATTGGGCTTTCCAATTTTACTGGGTTTCTTGCTAACTGATTGCAAAGTAGCCTAATTTTTTACGTTGAGAAAATAGTGATATTTCAGTCCCGTGTTTTGGTAATATAAGCAAGCAAATTTTTTCTGCAGGTCGTTTATAAAGGATATTTGTTGATACATTAATAACGATTAAGGTTTTCCAACAAAAATTCCAAAATAGGAAAGATAGGAAAGTAAAGTATTTGAAACTGGTATATTTTGAAGAGTGATCTTAGATTTACCTAAAACATCTGCGGATTTCTTAATAAAGTGTAAATGAAAATTTCTATCATTATCAACTTTGTGTTTATACTGTATTCAGGCATGAGTGCTAAAAACTGCAATTTTCCCATCAGTCATGGTTACACGTCCAAGTGTTGTTTACGGCTTTACCAGCGTTTTGTCGTACATATATAACGTTTATCAGTATATACATCTCTTTAAAATTCTTGTATTTAAGCGCTGAAATCTTGTTTATAATAGATAAACATGGCCAAGTGAATGTGTAGTAAATTTAACATTCTGAATGATCTGTTGCGGCCAATATTTTGCGATTGGAGGGAATGGGTGTTGTTTCAATGATTGTTAATGTTCAACACTCGCAGAAACAATTACACAGTCATTGTTTGAAGGCACATTTTTGTGTGCTTTTTTAGTGCTGTATGCGCATCTTTAGGTGCGATATAAGGGTTGCTTTGTTGCTTCCGGCGTTTTTCCTTTGTATACTTTGCATGCATTGTTAGTTGCATCTTAAGACGTGCATGCTTAAAGCTGGTGGCTACGACTGCACAAGTGGAGACACCGATGTCTTTGATTCTGCTCTGTGTTTGCGACGGTCTTTTTTTGAAATTGCAGTAAGGGTTTTTTATTCAGTGGAATTGGACTCAGGCAATGGTGGGTTTCCCTGCGCCGCTTTGTCCAGTAACATCAAATTGTGTACAGGAGAAACACGTCGATGTTTTCAATGGCTTTTCATGCC